GGATGGAAGTATGTCTAACCACAGGTGAGAAAATCTCATTGTAGTCCACTCCCTCTCTTTGATTGAAGCCTCTCGCAACGACCCTGGCTTTATACTTGACCCCTTCTGCTGGTGATATTCCTTCCTTCCTTTTGAAAACCCATTTGCAAGTAATGATCTCTCTCCCCGGAGGCTGTATGACAAGATCCCATGTTTGATTCTTATGCAAGGACTCCATCTCATCTCCCATAGCAGTTAACCATTTTTCAGAATCAGAACTTAAAACAGCTTCTCTGTAGGTAGATGGTTCAGAAGTATCTACCTCTTCAGCAACCTGCAGTGCATAACCCACCATATCCTCAAAACCGTACCTCATAGGTGGCCGAACTCCAACCCTTCTTGGTCAATCTTGAGCTATACTGCGATGGGTATCTAATGGCATAGATTCTGGGAAATCAGTTTCTGTCTGTAACTCTTGATTCTCCCCTTCAGGTTCTTTCGTATCACCTTCGTTCTGAACGACTTGAAGCTCCACCTGTTTATCAAGACTCTCAGTTTCTGACATAGTTGTAGGCTTTACGATGGTTCTAAGCAGAGAACCTTCATCAAAGACAACGTTTCTGCTTAGAATAACCCTCTTTTCTGCTGGAGACCAGATTCTAAAACCTTTCACTCCATCTCCGTAGCCCACAAATACTCCCTTTTTAGCTCGTGGTGAAAGGTAACCATGCAAGGATAGGCAGCGGAATATAAAAATTTTAACATCCTAACATGATTATCTTGCCCAGAATCACGTACTAAAACTTATAGTGAGTAAGAAATTTATACCTCTCTCCGTAAGCGGTAAAAACGAAGAAGTCGTAGGAAGAGCGTTGAAAGTGCAAACGTAACCGTTCAAGCGTCTGGTCTCCAACTTTGACACACGAACAACGCCGGAGTCTACCACAATCTTTATGCTAGTAAAGATTATAGTAGTATAAAATATAAAGATTAAAATTTGGGATAATAATAATCTTGTATATTTCTATAGAAAATATTTCCAATAATATTTAAAAAATATTATAGATATTTTCTACACACAAAATGATATTAATGGAACAAGATATCATTTTCTCTCACTAGAAATATAATGGCCGAAAACCCTTAAAGCCAAAATGATAATCTTCCCCATGCCATTATATTGTAATAGCCGTGTGATTTAAAAACAAAAGAGTAATCAAACTTTGTCATTAAGCTAAAAGTTAAACTAATGAATAAACTTTGTCAAAGATTGATTTTGTGATCTTTTAAATCACTTTGGCCGAAAATTTTGATGGTGAGAAAGATTTTCAAAATTCTTCTCCACTCAAATGTTCAAAGTGTATTTTATTTGACACCAAAAATTAATATAAAAATTAATTTTAAATCATATAAAAATACCAATATCATTTTTAAACAAGTATACATATATACTTTCAATAGTTCATGTCAAAATAATTATTTCCATAATTAAAATGACAAACCAAAATAAAATATTCAACATATAATATATATACATTAATCGGTACATATATATAATATATATAACCGAATATTTATATATATAATATTATATTCCAAAATATTTTATTTTACTATTTTACAAATATACAAATTACTTATTATCCCATTGTTGAATCCTACTCCTTAAATTGTTCAAAGTGTGTGACCCGTATAGGCACTTATAAAGCTGGCCACAGTATTGGCTCTGCACCAATACTATAAGCAATAAGCGGTATCTAGCAACACATTATTGCCCCCAGATTATAAGTTAAGACGTTTGCACTGTCAAAACCTTTCCACGACTCAGACTCCGTGTAACTGTATCCCTTTGTCTCAATGTCTAAACTTAATGTAAGGGATTAATAAAATCCAACTTGTATCCATTAAGTCATTCACTGATTTATCAAGTCTGACTAATAGGAACAGACGTCATAAAAGCATCTCAGCATGGCCATGCAATTTCCTTAGTCATAACTTATCAGTGGGCCCCATAAGACATTAATCTCTTTAAAAAGAGTAGTGACAAATCCTATGTACGTAATCTATGTTTCTGAATACGCGCTGCGGCATACCCAAAACAAAGCCTGTATACCATCCTTATTTCATATGGCTTAGGACAATGCATCAAAGTATGCGGGTTCACATATGCAGAAAACGTAATCCTTCAAGTCGAAGGATAGTTACACCCGTGGTCGCGCTAAAGACGCTTAGAGCATGAACTAAAAGTTCAAGCAACATCTTTAGGATGGGTCAGTCCGGCATCCTATTATCTCTAGATAATATCTGCCCATGTGCGAATGCGAACACACCGTCATTGACTATGAGACTAATTCAAACATCCAACACACACTAGTCTCACATGCATTAACGATATCCCACTCTCGTTAATACTCAACTATGGACATTTAGATAAATATTTATTTCAAGATGTTAGTCTCATCAGCAAAAGAACATTATCTGATAAACATCTTTTAAATATAAATCTAGGAATATAATATTTGTTTACATTAGCATGAGATGTGTAAACATATTATATCTGCCTATAACATGATAGAATAACGATAAACAGTTGGCCATCAGGGCACAACTCCAACACGTGGTTCTAGCTTACCTTCACTAACATGATAGTAAGCTGTACAACCAAAAGCTTTCAGATTTGAATAATCAGCAGCTCTTCCTGACCACATCTCCACAGGTGTCTTGCACTGAATGCCTGTATGTGGTCCGCGGTTAATCAAGTAGCAAGCTGTACTAACCGCTTCTGCCCAAAACCTTCTGTCTAGCCCAGCATTAGAGAGCATGCACCTTGCTCTCTCCAGAAGTGTTTGATTCATCCGCTCAGCTACACCGTTCTGTTGTGGTGTATCCCTGACTGTACGATGTCGAGCAATCCCTTCATCCTTACAGAATTGATCAAATTCAGACCAACAGAATTCCAGTCCATTATCAGTTCGCAACCTCTTGATCTTCTTCCCTGTTTGATTTTCCATCAATGTTTTCCACTCCTTGAACTTCTGGAGAGCATCACTTTTGTGCTTCATCATGTATACCCAAGTCATCCTTGAGTAATCATCAATAATTGACACGAAAAATCTGCTTCCTCCCAAAGACTCAACTCGGCATGGACCCCAGCAATCAGAATG